AGCCCTTATAGTCTTCATTCTCACCATAATGGTCAATTGTAGCAGCCATTCCAGCTGCCAAAGCCCTGTCATTATCAGGCACCTTTTCCCAGGCAGCAACACTTACTGAAATAACTGAAAATTTACGTAACAATTTTTGGGGGGCAGTACTGGGGATTGAACCCAGGGCCTTTGCACTGAGCTACATCCCCAGGCTTTTTTTTCCCCCTGTATTTCAAGACAGGTGCTTGCTAAGTTGCTAAGTTGCCCAAGCTGGGCTCAAACTTTCAATCTTTCTGTCTCAGTCTCCCAGAGTGCATGGATTTCCAGGTATGCATCACCATACCTGGCTTTTATCACCTTCTAATCCAATGCCTTGATTTCTGTTCATGAGGACCAATGTGTGCAGAAATAGAAATCTCACTAGATCATCCCTTCCCCCTTCTGTTCCTTCTTCTCTGCTTCCCTCTCTCCCTTCTTTCCATTCTCCCTTCCCTGCTGGGGACTGAACCCAAGGCCTTATGAAAGCTAGGCAACTGCTCTACCACTGAGCTACACCCCTAAGCCCTGGACCTTTTAAAATTAAATTTTTATTTTGAAATAATGCAATTGTCAGAAATAATGCAGAGAGAGACAACCCTCTTTCTGGTCCCCTTCTAATAAATTTTCTACTCTCAATACATTTTCCTACTCTTAAAAAAAAGAAAGAAATAGGGCTGGGGATTTAGCTCAGTGGTTTCGTTGCCTGCTGCGCAAGCTCAAGAACCGGAGTTCAATCCCCGGTACCAAAAAAGAAAAAGAAAAAAAAAAAAGAAAGAATGCAGAGAGATCTCCTTGTCCAGATCTCATTTATCCAGTTTCCCCTGCTGGTAACAATTTGTAAAACTGTGGTACAGTGTTACAACCAGGATACCAACATTGTTACATACAAATTAGTTTGACACTCCCCCATCTCTCATGTTCCTTCTAAGGCTTCTTTCCAGAAGAGAGGAATTTAATTCAGAGTATTAAGTATTTATGCATTACTAGGAGGGCCGGAAGAATGGCCCTCAGAGTGGATCTCCAGTATGGTTCCCATAGGAATTATTATTATTTTTGCCACAATCAGGAAAATGGGGAATCAAAGACTTCACGGCTGCTGAACATGACAGCAAACCCTTGTAATTCTGGCACTCAGGAGGCTGAAGCAGGAGGATTGCCTGTGTTTGAGGTCAGCCTGGGCTACACAGTGAGTTCAAGGCGAGCCTGAACTACATAGCAAGACCTTATCTCAAAAAAGAACACAGTATGGCAAAAGGGATGCAGGGATCTAGATTTGGACTAGAAACTGGCTGCTTCATAGTGGATACTGAGTTTGGCTCTTGCCACTGCACAGCTGTTTCTGGGTTTTGTTGTTGGTTTTGTTTTTGTTTCGGTACCGGGGATTGAACTCGGGACCTTGCACTTTGGGAGGCAGGAGGTGGAACCACTGGGCTAAATCCCCGGCCCTGTACAGCTGTTTCTGGACATTCACAACATGGAAAGAGGCCACCATGCAGGGCTGTAAACCCCCGAATCAGGGTGACCCTGCTCCTTGTCTGCCTGCTGATGTCAGCCAAGAGCAGCCAGTGAAGGACCTAAGGCAATGTATGCTGCATTAGAATATTGATTATTTCAGGCTGAAATTACTCGAGGAAATGTAATTTCAGAAAGGGCCACCAGGCCTGTCTTTTCCTACTTGCAGCAAGCTGCAAGGCTTGTTTTGGGCAGGATGTTCTTTCCATAGCATGGCTCAGAAATAGACTTGGTCACCAGAGACTGGTGACTGGGGCTACAGGGAACCTAAATAAATTCCAAAGTAACCATTCTCCACAAAGTTTTTTTTGTTTGTTTTTTGTACCGGGGATCGAACTCAGGTCCTCAGCTTTGAGGCAGGTGCCAGAACCACTGAGCTAAATCCCTGGCCCAACCATTCTCTTTTGCTACTTTCTACATCCCCATCTCATGCATCTCTTAGTAACATACCTAGAATTTACCACCCTAGTCCAGAGATCCAGTGTGCAAGCCCTTCATAAATTTATTGTCTAAAAAATATAAAAAGCATCATGTTTTGGTCATTTCTTAGACTGCACCCACTTGAGAAGATTTCCATTACGTGTAAATTTAATAAAACTCCTCTCTCTCTGTTAGTTTTTTTTATACAAGTTTTTTTTTTATACACACTATGTAACTCAGGCTGGCCTTGAACTCAAGGCAATCTTCTGGCCTCGGCCTCCCAAGTGCTGGGATTACAGGCGTGTGCCACCACACCTGGCTATCTAAGCTTTCCTCTTGCTCATCTACTCTTGTATTAATTGGGTTTCTAGATGCAGCCAAAAATCCCACAGAAGAACTAAGGAGTTAGTGGGTGTGGTGGCACATGCCCATGATTCTGGCACTCTGGGAGGCTGAGACAGGAGGATGGAAAGTTCGAGCCCAGTTTGGGCAATTTAGCAACTCAGTGAGACTTTGTCTCAAAATAAAATATAAAAAGAGCTGGGGATGTAGCTCAGTGCAAAGGCCCTGGGTTCAAACCCCAGTACTGGGAAAACAAACAAACAAACCCCTAACGGTGATTTTACATGGGATCTCTCTCCTCAACACAGGACTATGGCAACTGCCTCACTTCTGCCTTCCAAAAACGACTGCAGCTAAATGTGGGGAATAAAATTTTAGCTTTTTAGAGTCTAGAAAGACTAGATGCTGAGTCCTGTTAGACCACATCCCAAAAAGATGGACACAGAGATAGATTTGCACTTAGTATTGGGAAGATAAGAGGGTTCTATCAATTCTGCTACCATTTTCCCTGTTTAGAAAAAAAAGAGGCAAGAGATAAGCACAGATAAGAATGTGGAAAAACCGGAAACCTTGAGCACTGTGGGTGGGAATGCAAAATTGTGCAGCTATTATGTTAATTTTTTTCTTTTTTTTTGACACAGGGTCTTGCTATGTAGCTCAGTCTGGCCTTGAACTTGCAGCCATACTTTTGCCTCAGTGTCCCAAGTGTGGGGATTATAGGTGTGTGCCACCACACCTGGCAGGAATATGTCCTTTAGCTGAGACCCAAGGCCTCTGGGATTCATTTTCAGACCACTCTGTGAACCAATAACGATGAAACTGGAGGGCATATACCAAGGAAATAAGCCAGTCATGGTAGGACAAATATTGCATGATTCCACTTATGTGAGCTAAAAACAGCCTAATTTGGCCAGGTGTGGTGACACACATCTCTAATCCCAGCACTCAAGAGGCTGAGGCAGGAGGATTGCCATGAGTTTGAGACCACCCTGGGCTACATAGCAAGACCCTGTCTCAAAAAAATCAAAACAACACCCCCCCCCGAAAACATAAATAAATAAATTTAAAAAGTCAAACCTCACAGAATCAGGGGAGAACTATGGTTATCAGGGGTGGGAGAGGAAGAAATAGGAGATTGTTAATCAATCAAATTCCCAGCCCTGTACACTTGAAAATTTATCAAGATACATTTCATGTTGGCAAGAAAAAAAATTCTTTTAGGGCTGGGGATTTAGCTCAGTGGTTCTGCTGCCTGCCTTGCAAGTGCAAGATCCCGAGTTCGATCCCCGGTACCAAAACAAAAAAAAATTCTTTTAAAGAAGAGATGATGTCAACTGTGGAGTTGTTTAGTCCTTCTAGTCACTGTGAAGAGGGTGGTGAGCTGGCCAGATGACATTTGTCCGTGTCCCACTTAGGCAAGTGGTTATGAACTTAAGTGATGCAGCCAGCCCCACTGGGTGCTTTTTTCCAATTGTGCTTGCTTAGCTGGTGGGTGCAGGCAAAGAGAAAAAGGGAGTTGGATTCACTCAGGGTCAGAATTCTTACTAAATTCATATGACTAAAAGACAAGGAAATGAAAGGTTCACAGTGGTGGTGACAGTGTTGTTAAATTTATAGATTTAGCTCAGTGGCGCCTTGCCTGCCTTGCAAGCACAAGGTCCTGAGAGTTCGTTCCCTGGTACCAACCAACAAACAAAAAAACCCAACCAACCAACCAAACAAAAAATTTATAGATCATGTAAAGAAAATATTGTTTTTATACACAATGGAGTCCTACTCTTACATAAAGAAAGATAAACTTAAGGCATTCATAGGTAAAAGGATCCACCTGGAGACCATAATATTAAGTGAAATATGTCAGACTCACAAGCTTAAATATTGCATGGTTTCTCTCATATGAGAGAGAGGAGTAAAACAGAAAAACAGAAGATAGATAAAAAGGCAGTAGGGAGATCTTTTTCAAATGAATGGGGGAATAAGAGATAGAGGGAAGGGGAGGGAGCGGAAGGAAAAGGTGTGGGGAAAAAAATTGAAGGGGGAAAATGATGAAAATGGAGCTTTTGCAAACTGGGAGGGGACCAAGAGTTGGAAGGAGCAGGGAGGGCGGGGAAAGGTAGGGGTAGAAAAAAAGAAAGAAAAAGATGTATTATAAGGGCGGGGGATATAGCTCAGTGGCGCCACGCCTGCCTGGCAAGTGCAAGGTCCTGAGTTCGATCGCTGGTACTGGTGTGTGTGCGTGTGTGTATTATGTACATGTAACCACCTCCCCACGATAACTATAATCACTGTGTACTGCACAACTTCCTCCCAAAATTACAGATCCTGGAAAATAAAAGAATCAGAAGGAAAAAATGAGGAAGCCCACGAAGAGTGAGAAAGAAGTCAATGGCAGAGGTGCTGAATAGCTGGAAAGAGGCCCCAGAGGGGTGCGCAGGCTGGTCATAGACACCTGTCTTCAGATTTTAAACAGGAAAGGGGTAAGGGTCGGTTTAGAAAGTGGAAAAATAGGGCCAGGGATTCAGCTCAGTGGGTCCGCCGCCTGGCTCGCAAGCGCAAGGTCCTGAGTTCGATCCCTGGTACCAACAAAGCAAAATAAAACAAAACACTGGAAAAATATAATAGAACCTTCAGCTTTGGAGCTACAACTAGGATCACATCTCTGCTCCATCACTTAGGAGATGTGTTACTACAGGCAATTCATTTACCTTTTTTGAGTCTGAGTAAGTTGGTGTGAGAAGTTAATGAGACAACGTACATAAGGCGCTTGTCACAATCCCTGGCACACAGTAAGTGCGAAAAACAAGTTGTTACTGATACAGTCGGAATCGAGATCCAAGGCAGGGTTACAGTGACGACAATCAAAAGCGCAGAAGTACTGTAAAATAGAACTTTTGGACGACTAAGCGCATGCGCCGGTCCGCGGTCGCGCAGTTAGGGCGAGCGCTGCGCATGCGCCGGAAGTTGCGGCCGGGAAGCCTGCGAGGTCGGTTCCGCCCGACTTTAACATGGCGGCGCCCTTTGTCTGCTCTGAAGTGCTGTCCCTGGCCTTCTTGCGACTGTGATGCACCTCCTTCTGAGGCGCGGTCCGGGACATGTCAGGTGAGGGTCAGCAAGCGCAGGGCGCCGAGGGAGTCCCAGGAGCCAGGGCAGAGGTGGTGGAGGATGGGGCGCAGCGGGAGGCCCTGGACGGTTTGTGGGGGAGGGGAGGGAAGTGGCATGGGACAGGAACCGCGGCTGAGGGGACCCCGCGGGGCAGGAGGTTGTGGGCACCTGGGCGGGGGGCGCCGACTGGCCAGCAACCCGAGAATGGGCGGCAGGCCCGCTGTCCCGGCGAGGGAGCGCGGGGCATCTCCGAGCCGGGTGACACCGCAGCTGGCAGTATCTGCGCCCCCGCCGCGAGGCTGTCACAGCCCCTTGACCCCGCGCGCCGCGGTGGGTGAGCGTTCTGTGCCGCCAGGGGGCGAGGTGCCGGCCCCCCGGGCGGAAGCACCCGGAGGCCGTGCCTAGGCGCTGCGGAGCCTGTGCAGAATCTTTCTACTCATTCATTCGTTCCGCAGACAGTGGCTTAGCACCGGATAGGTCCAAGCCCAGGAGTGATGCGGACGGAATTCGTCCTGGATAGTGCCTAGGGGCGTGTACGGTAACGGCTCGGGGCTATGTCCTTCTGCACGTTAGGGTTGCTCTCTCTGCCTCACTTTCCCCCTTCGTTGTTAAAGCCGAGGTGATAAAGTTTGCCGGGTGTTGTGGCACGCGCCTATAATCCCAGCGCTCAGGAGGCTGAAGCAGGAGAATCCTCAAGTTAGAGGTTAGCCTGGGCTATGTAGTCATTTCAAGGCCAGCGTGAGCTACATAGTGAGACCCTGTCTTAATAAATAAATAAATAAATAAATACCCTACCTCCTAAGATTTTTATAAAGGTTAAATGAGGTAATGGGTGCTTAGAACTCCTACGGTTACAGAATGAATGTGTGTTTCAGTTCTTTCTATCATCACCTGGAGCTCATAGACTCCTGTGCTCGGAGAGACAGAAAAATAGGCTGTTTAGATGCTGCTGTGCAGGAGCAGGTGCCCTCCTTGCTCTGACAACTCTGAGCAGTGGCACCCTCTCGGCCTGGGTGCGTCCAGGGAGGCTTCTTTCCTCGGAAAGCTGAGGTGTAAGGGAAGTGAGGTGGGAGGAGGGTAGAGCATTCTCAGCTGAAGGTGCAGGGTGTGAGAAAGTTCAAGTCTTGCAAACCTATAGAGAGAACTGGTAGATAAGTCTAAGGGAGCTGTTTTGCATCTAAGTCTAGGGGTACCTTGTAAACCCAGTTGAAGAATGAGTTTTAGATAATGAGAAGGTATTAAGAATCATATTTGTGCCAGGCATAGTAGTGCATGCCTGTAATCCCAGCACTCTGGAAGCTGAGGCAGGAGGATTGCCACAAGTTCAAGGCCAGCCTGGACTACATAGCAAGACCCTGTCTCAAAAACATAACAAAGATCATATTTGTGAAGTAGAGAGGTCACTGGTCCTGGTGAAGATCTGCTAAGGGACTGGGCCTGGAACCCAGTTAAGAGGCTGCTGGGCTAATTAATCCAGGAGGCAGGAGGTCAGAAGAGATGGCTTTGTGAGTAGAATTGAAAAAGCCTGGTGATTACTTTGATGAGAGAGTTAGGGGCAGGGAGGAGTCTGGGTGCCCCCAAGTTCTGGACTGGTGGATGTTTTTTGTTACTGGGGATTGAACTCGGGTCTTTGCGCTTGCAAGGCAGGCGGTGGAACCACTGAGCTAAATCCCTGGCCCTAGGTGGATGTTGATAACTGTTCAGTGTGCTAGAGAGCAGGGCAAGGAGCAGTTTTGTTTTGTGTTTTTGAGACACCATCACTCTGTTGACCAGGCTGATTTTGAGTTTCTAGATTCAGGTGATCTCCTATCCCAGGCTCCTGAGTAGCTGTGGCCAGACTCCAGGAGCAGAGTGTGAAGAGGACAGAGACTGAGGTTTTTGTTTTTGTTTGGTTTTTGTTTGGATTTGTTTGTTTGTTTTCTGAGACAAGCTCTCCACTCTGTAATTCAGACTGGCCTTGAACTCGAAGTAATCTTCCTGCCTCAGCCTTCCTGCTGGGATCACAGGTGTGTGCAACCATGCTCAGCAAGACATGGAATTTTTGAACATGTTGGAATTAGGTGCCTGTCAAACATGAAGTAAAGCTGCCTGGTGTTGATCTTGGAGCTGTTGTCCACCACTGGTACTACAGTCATGAGAGGGAATGCGCTTGCCTGGGTGAGGGTACAAAGCGAAAGTGTGCAGGACGTCCCAGAGGAAGGCTTGTGTGCAGGGTGCTGGGCACGCCCTTGCTTTCCCTTCTAACAGTCACACTCTTTCCTCAAGCAGGAGTTCCTAAGTGTGGGAATGAAGACTGAGTTTATTCACCTCTGTGCTCCAGGTCCCCAACATGGTCTGGCCTGCAGTGGGCCAATAATAATCCCATTTACTATTTAGTGAACACATACTTGGTGCCAGGCTGTGTGCCAGGCACTCTGCACTTACCTTGTTCCATGAGTAAGTAAAAGAGCAGCTGTGAGGGAGCAAGGGTAGGTGTGTTCTCATCAGATTTTCCACTTGGATTCTTTGATTCAGGTAATGAGCTGGAGAAGGGGAGCGAAGCTGGAGTTGACACAGACAAACTGTCAGAAAGGAGTAGCCTGGGCTGTGTGGAAATCTGAGGTATGTTTTCATACTCAACAACAAACCCAAGCTGGAAGTGAGTTTGTTCTCTATGCTCAGTGTGATTCAAATAGCCCTTTCAAGACACATTTTTCTTTAAAATTAGTAATGACAGAGTCCCCCTTACAGTTTGGTTGGGAAGTTGCTGATATCTCTTTTTACCAAGGAAGACCAGTGTGGATTAATTATTGGGCAGGCTGCACCACTGCTTTAATTAGGTGCAGTCTAAAATGCTCCAACAGGGCTGAGGTGTGGCTCAGTGGTTGAGCGCTTGCCAAACATGTGCAAGACCCTTGGTTCAATCTCCAGCCCTGCAAATAAAGAAGAAAAGGAAGAAAATTACATTTTTCTTTTTTTGGTACTGGGGATCAAAGGAAAAGAAGAAAATAAAGAAATAAATAAACATTTCAACAAAGCAGTTCCAAATACAGTGGCTGAAAGAAAATAGAATTTTATTTCTTACTCCTTAAAAATCTCCAGATACGCAGTACAGAGCTGGTAGAGTAGATCACTCTGTTCCAGGAGGTCCACTTGGGAACAGGGTTTCTTTAATCACCTGCCTCTCCTTGCTCAAACCCACACATTCATCTCATGATGCACGAAGGCTGCTCCAGCTTCTGTCATCATGTATGAGTCCATCTGACAAATGGGAAAGACAAAGTAGGGAGCACATATTCATTCCTTTTAAGGTTCTGATGTTTAAAGAGACACATTTTTGTGTAACATGGTTCCCAAACATAAGCTAACTATTGCATCTGGTACACAACCAAAGAATGAGCCATGCCTGATCCCATGCTGGAGGAAAAACTGGCTGAGCCATTGGGAAAACAGGATTACTGCCTTGGGACTCAGTCCCAGCCTGAGGGGTAAGTCCACTGAATAGGTAAGGAGGGCTGGACTTGCTTCCTAGGCCTGTCTCTCCAGGTCAGGCTGCTCTGGCTTTGAGTAGATTTATGGTGCTTGGGCTCAGAGACTCCAGGCTTGATTATGTATTAGTGTTTTCTGAGCCCAGCATGTGGATAATCACAGTGATATGAGAAATACCCAGAAGTTCCATCAAAAGGTCTGGTTCTGCCAGGGTGCAATGGTACAGTCCTGTAATCCTAGCATTCTAGAGGCTCAGGGAGGAGGACCGCAAGTTTGAGCCAAGTTTGAGGAACTTAGTGACACACTGGTGCACCCATGAACATGCACAGGATGCTGGTTGTCAGCGGAAGGCCCACATACCAGCGCTAAGATTGGGAAGAAGAACACATTTGGATGGGTAGAGAGAATCGGATAATGAGGACCCTGGAGTCAGTGGGAATCACAGCTCAGTAGTTCTGTTTGCCAAGCCAGTTACTTAATTGCTGAGCTTCAGTTTCCTCATCTGTAAAATAGGGATCACAATATCCACCTTACGGAATTGTTTTGAGAGTTATGTGAGCTCAGGCAGGTAATCCACCAGTATCCAAGTATGTCCTACCATGCTTGGTCAGTTTTTAAATGACTGAAGTGATGGAGGTCAGAGGGCATTTTGGCATGGAGGCATTTCAACATGTGCCACAAGCGTGTGTGTGTGTGTGTGTGTGTGTGTGTGTGTGTCTTGCATCAGCATGGGTGCATGGCACTCTCAGAGCTCCTTGTGGGTGTCCGTAGCTTAGCCATCCAGGAAGAATTAAGGTTGACCTCAGTAACATAATCAGCACAGATACATGTGGAAAACTGGGGCTTGCACTTGTAAACTTGTGCTGTGTATTTGAGGCACGTGATTCTTTGGGCCTGAGCTTTAAGGGAGAAAGCAAGCAAAGGCATGGTTAGAATGGAGAGCTGCTCTCTTGTGACTCAACAGCAGCATGGATGGAGGCTCAACTGCAGGAATCTTGAGAGCCTGGGGGTTTCGCAGCAACGAGCTCAGCTGCTAGTCCTGAACTGTCTGGCATCCCACCCACTTCCTCTGCTGGAGCTGTCACTCTGAGGAGTGGCTTTCCTGTCCCAGGGGAAGGCATTGTCCAGTTTCCCCGTCCTGAGTGTTGGGAAGCAGTATTTGCCTGGCTCATTAGTCAGAGCCCAGAGGGAAGCTCTGGTCCTTTCAGTTACATCTGGCCTGGGGCTCCCCACAGGGACTTTCCGGGCTTACTGTGGCTCAGTCAGTTGCCCTTCATGTTTCAAAACACTTCAAAACATTGTTTAATTTTGTAATTTGTTTTCTGTTAAATGTTGAGT